TGGATACAGTGCAGAATTTTGTTCTACTGCACTGTGATTAAAAAAGAAGTTTAAATGAATATGGCAGTGTTTTAGAGAATTTATTTTTACTCTTTCAGTGACTTGTGGATGACTACTGTGTAGTCAGTAGGCATATGTAATTGTTTTTTATAATAAACTTCTAAAACCCATACATTCTTAATCATCCATTGTGCTAACTTCCCTTAAATAACAAAAGCACATGAAATGCCTAGTGAAATTATGTAGAGATTTTTATCAGCTTTTAAACATGTAACATTAAATTAAAAACCTACCTTGTATAGCAAGGACAATGTAGGAATTGGAACTTTGAGGTGTGTACTAAAGAACTGACTCCCATTCCTTGCTCTAGCAAGAGCTAAAGGCAATTAAAGGTTGCCATCATTTTCACTGGAGGAAGACGTTCAGGTTAGATTTAAGCTGAGACAGTTCACCAAACAGTTGTGTATATTAACTGCCTGAAACTTGCTTTAGGTCCATAGGAAAAACCTGCTTTAAGTTGTTGTCTTGAGTTCATGTGGAGTGTCACCATTGCTTGTCAGGCATCCAAAGACTGTCGAACTAGATAGAAAAGAATGTGAAAGTTCCACTTAAAGCAGTCTCCCTTGGAAGGAATAATTAAGATACAAATAAAAAGAGAATAGTTTTAAAGAGTTTAGTGTTCACTCATATTCATTCTTGACAAATTCTTGAAATACCCAGACTTTTTCCTAGTTATGTTTTTTCTTTTTTTTTTTTTCCTATTTTCTCCTGGTTCATATGAATAAGCCTCCATCTATCTGACATGAGATATACTTTCTTTTGGCTTTTTTCCTTTTTATATCCATCAAAAATTGATGCTGGTCTGAGATTTTTATCCTGCTAATCATTGGAAAGATTGGTGAGGATTTACTGGTTTAGCAGCCTTCTGTATGTGTGGGTAGGATTTAGTGGAGGTTACTTCTTCAGTGAATTTGCACAGTAAGGCAGTATCTTTATACTTAACATAGTTCCTTATTTGATGTGAATTGTGTTTTTATTTTTGTGTGTCTGTATTTTTTTTCTTTGTAAAGTAGAATTGGAATTCACTAGGAGTCCTAAATTGTCTTACGAAAAGTGACTAAGAAAAACTGTTTCCATCAATGTCTTCTTTGCCTGGAAATAGGCACTGTCCTGTCCATGAATTTTGTGGTGTCTGTTTAAGTGCAGTCAGAGTACAGGGCTCTGCGGTGTCCACTCCTAGTGTTAAAACAAAACAAATCTGAAACAATACACCTTCCACATAAAGCCAAATAATAATTAAAAAAAAAAAAGGTTGGCTGTGCCTGGGTTTTCAGAAATTAATCTTTTACATCAGTCTTTGAGATATTCAGTAAGAGAAGAGGAAGAAAATTAGTTCACATCTGTCTCCAGGTTTTCATTATTGCTGCCACTCCTTGTTGCTCTGTTTGCATGGTCCAATAATGTTTGCATGATTAATAACAATTAAAGATCCTTCAGCTCAGACCGTGGCTTTTAAGAGTCTTTTCTGATGCTGATGATAGTTAATGATCATCGGAAGTGTTATTTTTCCTTTAGCTCAGTGAGTGGATATTAGGGGTTGGATGGTTTACCACTCTTTCAAAGCCTCTGGTGTAGTTGCTTTTCCAGTATCTGGGTCTTTGGATTGACATTCACCCAAACCATGCATACCTTTTTACTCTCTTAGACCTCCTGTTAACTCTAGATCCAGTGAGAGCTCCCTTACAACCTGGTAGATTCCTACTTTTAATGAATCATTCAGAGCTTGACCTTTCAGCTGAGTATTATAATAAATGGTATGTCTTTTCTGTGGCTCAGGGCCTCTTACACTCTGTAACAAAATTCTGTGAATGATACATAATTTTTCAAACATTTATTTTGGATTTAGCTGTGTAGTTATGAATTGGTTTCCCATTGGGATTTTCATCTTCTGGTTTAGAGTACTCACGTCTTCCATTGAAGCCCACGAAGAAGTCACTTTCTCCTCTTGGCTTCTCACCTGGCTATTATGTGAGCCAGAATGGGCCCTTATGTCTGTGATTTTACCCAAGATGGTTAGTTTTGTAGTGCTGTTGTTCTCAGTCATCCGTTTCAAGGGCTGTCCATACTCTTGTCATACACTCTTTCCTTTAAGGTTCAGAAGAATTTCTGAGTTACTCCCATACAGATAAAGCATTGGCTGGTGTGGGGTGGAAACAAACCCCATCCTCAAAGGGCTTTTCACACAGGACTAGGTGTGAAAAAGGAACGCTGGACCTTGGGATGATTGTGCAGAGCAAATACAACCAGACCTCACATGCCTTCATTAATCAGTCGGAGCATTAGACAGCTTTCATTGTGACTATTTTGTAGTACTGTCAGTACTGAAAAAAGTGATCAAAACATTTGAGTATGTGAATGTTCTTGCAGTGAATTGTCTAGATCCAACCTGCAGTCCATATTTTCTGAGGCTTTATCTTGTCTAAGATTCTATCTGCTGAAGTCATCTTCTGGAAATAATACAGGAGATAACTTCCAGGTCTTCTCTAGTTATTACGTAGCCTAAAGCAGAAAGAATTAATCCTGATGTTTATTCCAAGAACTGAATTATTTAATTTGTATTCATTTCACATTTTCCTTAGGCTAGCTATTTCTTTATTTGCGATTGTAACTTTTTCTGTTTCTTTTAAAAATACTTCATGGAGAAAGAATACAGTTAGCTGAGCATCAAATGTGTGAGTGTATAACATTTGAATTTATAGTATATTTTGGATCATATTTCATTTCTGTCTTTTGTATAATGCTAATTAGGTAAAATCTTTATGAAATCAGGTTTGACAGTTGCTAATCAATTTGAAGACTATAGTTGAAAATATTTGTTAAGATATTATGTCTTTACGTATGGGACTTTGAACAGTTGCATGTAGTGATAGGACAGTGGACGATGGCTTCAAACTGAAAGGGAGCTGGTTTAGATTAGATATTAGGAAGAAATTCTTTACTCTGAGGGTGGTGAGGCACTGGAACAGGTCACCCAGAGAAGTTGTAGATGACCCATCCCTGTCAGTGTTCAAGGCCAGGTTGGATAGGCCTTTGAGCAACCTGGTCTAGTGAGAGGTGTCCCTGCCCATGGCAGAGGGGTTGGAACTAAATGATCTTTAAGGTCCCTCCCAACCCAAACTGTTCCATGATTCTATGATAAATACATCTGTTGTGTTGCTGTACTAAAGTCACTGTAGTGTGTTGCCTGCACATCTCACATAGGAAGATAGAAATTATAGGGTTTGAACTAGAGTTATTTCAAAATATTATATTATTGGTTTCAGAAAGTTTTCTTGGAGAAATTACCCATTTCCAATTTGCATCTATCACAATAGCAAAAGCAAAAGGTAGTCAAAATATGTGGTTCTACAATCAGGAGAAATAGAGCTTCTAGACTTATTCTTTTTGCTTTTCTATTAGGAGGAAAAGCATTTCTTGAGGGAAAAATGCTTATGTAAATGAACAGTAGATAATTTCAGAAGATGGCATGTTCTTTCTAGGAGAAGTGTTCTCTTAATTTAAAAAGGGGTTTTTTTTCCATAGTTGAGTGAAATTAGAGGTTTTGATTAAGTTGTTGAACTTTGTCTAATATTCTCCAACAGATTAGTGTTTGGCGGGACTGGAGGATCTACACAGAGCTAGAAATAAACAAACCAATCTGTGCCTAGGCCTCTGAAATGGCTGTATGTTTCCATGAATGAAAAAAACACCCCACACCAAAACACCGAACAAACCCCTCCAAAACCAACAAAAACCCCACCACATTGGAAAAAACCTCACACTCTCCCTTCTGATGGTCTAACATTAGAAAAGTTTTAATCAGTGCTGTCTGTAAAAATATTTTCTCTTGCAGCTAAAGAATTTTGCCTTAGCACCAATCATCTTCATAGCAGGGCTTTTGTAAGGTCTGATTAAATAAAAGCAAGTACTGTTTAAGTAAGATATCTTTTATTAAGTCCGTATTTATTGGGGAAATATATAAAACAGAAACAAAAATACAAGAACAATTGATATTCATAAAACAGACAAATTTTCTGTAATACCCATTTTATTATTACAGTGAAATTTGGTACATCAAAGTTCCTTAATATTTTCAGTGGCTTCTCAGCCAGAATGTATGCCATGTTTAATTTTCTTGTAGTTGGTGTATTTTTCAAGTATGAATATGCTTATTGATTTCACTAGGATTACTTTTGCGTATAAGCTGAGTGAACACAATTGCGAATGTAACCAGCCAAATCTAACCCTTTTTTTCTGATGTTAAAGCTCCCATCTGACTTCTTTTGTGTGTATTTGTTGGTGCTGGAGCGTTACTGTTACTGACACCATCAATGGGTACAGTATCGTAGACTGTTACATGACATAGCTTAATATCTTGATATGACAAGACATCTTAATATGGTGTGGCTAAAACTAATTATTTTAAAAATTTGATTTACAGTATTTCCAATGCCTAAATTTCCCAATCTTCAATTTATTGTTGATAAGTGGAAACAAGTACTAGAAATGAGAAGTTATATCTAACTATTTCCAGGAGAGATTATAATGTTAAAAAAGCTGTATGCAATTATATTAGAGTGGACTGTTCAAAAATCTGATTTACGTAAGGGTAAGAAAAAAAGTAAATGTTGACTAGTGACTGGTGAACGGGCTTGTGACAGTAAAACAAAAAAACAGCATAGGAAAAGAAAACTTGAGAGAATGCAAAATATGCAGAAACACAGTGAGAAGCACAGCTAACTGTTTGATAATCACGCAGTCACAGAAGGGTGGAAGGGGCCACAGTGGCTCATCTGGTCCAACCTTCCTGCTCAAGCAGGGGCATCCTACAGCACATGGCACAGGATTGTGTCCAGATGGTTCTTGAATATCTCCAGTGAGGGAGACTCCACAATCTCTCTGGGCAGTCTGTTCCAGTGTGTGGTCAACTGCCCAGTAAAGAAGTTCTTTCTTGTCTTCAGGTGGAACTTTCTGTGCATCAGTTTCTGCCTGTTGCCTCTAGTCCTTGGTACTACCGAGAAGAGCCTTGGCGCCCTCCCTTCGGATACTTATATTCATTGTTAAGGTTTCTAATAATAAGAAACTATAAGAATACAGAAGACTTCTAGAATATGTGCACAGATTTATTATACATGGAACGCAATTGAAAGTACAGAAGGTACATGGTTGAACTAGCAAATGTACTTTTTAAAGTTTGGATTTTATATTCTGACCACCAAAATGATGTAATAAAAATGTAGTCAGGTGCTATTGAGACTGTTTATTGTCGAATCCCAGTATGGTTGAGGTTGGAAGGTGTGTCTGAGGTTATCTGAGAAAATTGTGCTATACATGCATACATTGTAAACATGAAACCTTCAAAATCAATTTAAAACATACAGGGAATACCTGAGATCAGTAGAAAGGACAGATGACTGTACTGACCAGGAGACAAAAGGCACTGGGGAGTTCTGGGGCCAGATTTAGCGCTGAGGTGGTCACAGAGTGGCCTGAAAGAGAAGAGTGGAATGTGTTCAGATAATCTCCAGCAGTTGCACCCAATCATATCTTCAGTCATCTTTGAAATAAAAAGAATGATAGAATCTTTAGGTTGGAGAAGACCTTTAAGATTGAGTTCATCACCTAACACTGCCAAGTCCACCACTAAACCATGTCTCCAAGTGCCACATCTACACATCTTTTAAATACCTCTAGAGAAGGTTAGAAATGAGTCATACATAACTGAATCTATAGTAGAAAGATTTTCATGTTAAAATATAAGTTAATTCTGCAATTTAAAAAAAAAAACAAACCCAAACTTACTTCAAGTAAGTGAAAATAATAATGGATAATTACAGAGCCCCAACTATCCTTCTATGAAACATCTTAGCTTTGAGTGCTGAGGATCTATAAAAGCAGGTGGCTGCATACAGCTGCCAAACATCATCTTACCCTCATTAGTAGTCAGTAGAGTAACATCAGAAAAGCAAGTTGCAGATGGCAGTGAAGGAAAAGGCACATAAGGACTAACAGAGTCCTTGAGTATGTACCTTTACTTGCAAAATAAAGCAATGCAGTGTGAATATCAATATATGTAGAGGCAAAAGATTGCTGCTGTGAATTAAGTTTTGAGTGGAGGTCTGTTATTGGGTAACACTAGTGAAAAACAGCTCTAAGCTTGCTTTCATTATGTACACAAATGTACAAAAGATAATACTTATTATGAATTATAATTCTGTTTTATTTTAATAGAGAATTGATAGTTTCTCTCACACAGATGACTCCTTTCCATCTGGCCTCCATTCTATTGCAGTTTTTAACTTTTTTTGTTTCTCTCTTAGCAACTTGATCCCTGATTAAAGCAAGTTAATCTACTAACTGGTTTTCTTTGAATATGTTTGATGTGCCCCTTTTTCCTCAGTCCTTTCATATACAGGGAAGGTGGACCTGGTCCCCCTGATGTGGTTGGTTTAAACTTACATATGTACTAAATATTAGTCTTATCATTTATGCCTTGTGGCTGTCTCTCAGCAAGAGTATGAGCTAAATTATAACTGCTTTTTTATTTTTGTTCTGAACAAGCCAAAAACGTTGACTTTTCTACCCAACCACAACTTTTAATCAGCATTTAGCTTTGTCATCTCTACTTGTCAAATTTGGCTGAAATTGGCCAACTGTTTCAATCTGGGGAGGTGATATGGTGGAGAGGGTAAAGGAACAGAAGTAAAATGATGACCAGTGCCATCACGTACATTGATAAATTTAACAAACTGGATGAAAGTCTCTGGACTGTTCTGGTGGGCATCTATTCTATGGAGCACTCTGTCCATGTCAGGAAGAGAAGTGACATGAAGACCTAGTTATGAAACTTCACTGGAGAATGCTGAATGGGTTTTTCTCACAGCTGTTTTCCAAGATACGTCTTCGTAGTAGTACAGCAGAAAGATCTGTGCGGATTTTCAAGGGAGCGGGACAGTAGTTCCTTGGCGAAACAAAAGTGTAGCTGGGAAATAAAGATTGACCTGCTACAAAATAACATTAAAGGCCAGCTCTATAACGTGACCATTATAGCTTTCATATGTCAGTGGCATCAATTCAATGAAGTCCTTGTCTCCACCTTAAAGGCAGGTCAAGATTTTAACAAGGGTGGGCTTGGTTTCAGAATAGTTTGCTCAGAACTGGTATTTATTTTTAAGTGCCCCTTTATTGTGTGTGCTGGCTTAAAAGTTAACCAGCAAGGCAAAATGAACTCAATTCAAAAGAGAGATTTATAAGTCAGAATAACAATTTATTAAAATAATGCAATAAGTACAATTATACAGACAGACAATTGGTTTTAATCCACAAAACCCAAATGTACAAACCCAGCACCCTGGGGTATGAACAAAAGTGGTGTACCTTGGCCCACCCCCCGAGTCCAAAGCAAAGGGAGAGGGAATAAACCTGCTGGTGGGAGAGCTGCTGCAGTCTGGTCAGAAGTGGTGATTGCAGTCCAGTCGAGGGTGGTGGTCTCAGCCTGGTTGGGAGCAGCGGTGGTCTGCTGTCTTCCTCTGGGTCCCACGAGAGAGAGCCCCAAGGCTCTGAAACTCCCAGTTATATACTCTCCAGTTCAGGCGGGAGTGCTCAGTCCCTCCCTCAGAGTAGGGAATTCCATAAAAGGGCATGTGGATGCTCAGTCCCTCTTATCAGAGCGGGGAATTCCATATAAGGATATCAGAGCAGGGAATTCCATAAAAGGGTACAGGAACATCTTCCCACCTTGCAGGCCTCTACTGACAGCAGTTTTTGGGAAATGGCATGGAGGCTATAGAATACACAGTTTTGGGTTACACCCATCCAGGGATGAATTGGTCCCAGCCGTTCTAACCAGGACATTGTGTTATCATTTTTGCTGTGTCAGTGATCCCTCTTCTGATATCTGTCACTTGAGTTACCATTTTTCCACTGAACTGTTGTCAGAGAAGACAACAGCAGCTTGATCTCTCATCCTCTGAGCTCTTGTGAATTAATAATAATTAAAATAATAAAATAATAATTAAAAGCTAGCTTTGGTAATCCTTGTCTTTTCTGCTTCTCAGGGTAGTTGAACAGGGGCATCACTGATACAAAAAGCAGCTATAACTGTGGTCTGCAATTCAGAAGTTAAACAAACTGTAGATTGTCTCCTAGCCTGATAAGCTTTTTCAAAAAATTCACTGAAGTTATGAGAACCTTGATGCTTTTTGTCTTTTGGGGTTTATAGCAAGAATTTGTCCATACCTAACTTTATGTTTTCTCACTTAAGATCACTGAGACTTCAAATGTGTTTACACCTAAATTTAGAAAACTTCATATTTATATAATTTTATGAGGTGTAATCTTGACTAAATAAAGAAAAATTTTGAGAAAACCTAAAGTGTTTATAAACTAGATTAAATTAGTTGACTTATTTCAAATGGAAAATTCAGGTTAGAAGAGTCTGAATACTACAGAACATCGTGAATGTTTCTTTCAACTAACCAGCAGACAAACAGGTCTTCTGATAATTACTCTAAATTGTGTGAAAAATACTTTTTAAGAAAGTACATACATACAACATGGTTAGCATTTTCTTTAAAATAGAGATAGCTCTTTTGCATAGCATAGCATAATGTAAGGAACAAACAGGAAAACATAAGGCAATATAAAAGTGAATAGATGAGTTTTCTCCAATCCGTAACTACTAATTTTTTCAGTCCATTTCAAGGAGAGAGAAGATTAAAAAAAGAAATAAATGTATCTACCCGGACAGTGCCAGATTTCAGACTTCGTTGCCTAGTTGGCCTTGGCCTTGCTCTTTTACAGAAGGTTTAACAGGAGGTGGTGAGAGGGATAGAAATGTAATCAGTTGGGCTATTACATAGAAATAATGTGGCTAAGTACTTTCCTGGCACTGTGTTGCAGTTTTTATCCATTCAGCAAATGTAATTTATTTATACATCTGTCAATAAATACAAGGCAGCATCCGATAATGAGTGCAGCAGGGATTTAAGCTGTATATTGCTGTGTTTGACACAAAGGTCAGCCTTGGGAAAGGGCTTGAAATTAACATTTCTTGAAAACTATTTTTCCTTCCACTGAGGCTATCTCTTAATTCCAGCAATTTTCTCTGTTTGATAAGCAGAGAGAGCATACATTTTGATTATATAAAGGAGGGAGGAGGTAATGAAACTTTAAAATATTTCAACCAGCATTGCATTCTGGTGATAAGAATGGGACTTTATGCAGCACAGAAGAGATTACCTGAAGTAGAATTGGAAAGCAAATTGTATTTACAAAAGATGGCATGATTTTCCTAATAGGTGTTCAAAACAGCCTATTCACTCACATATTCTACTGAGCTTGACTAGAAATAACTTCATTTCAAAAAAGACAAATCTGATTGAAGGTAAAAGCATTCCTCTCTCACAGATACTTGTCTAAAGGATTTGCATTAAATTTTCTTGATGGGAGCACAGTATTTTACTGTGCATCTCCATGAACTGGTAATGTGGAAAATAAGAATACAAATCGTGTCCTTGATTGCTTCATGCTTCAACCACTTGAATTACTAGATTTATGTCTGCAGTTTTGGAAGAGATGTTGCAATATGATACTTTGACAATAACCGTCACAATTATATTACTAAAATATGGATTCAACTTATTGTTGAAGTTAAGAGTATTGAAATTACATTTTAAGGACCAGGCATACCTTCCTTTGGTTTTATCTTGTTTTTAGTGTAGCCAGGGAATTTTTAAATGTTGTCAGTTAGTAGTAGAATACACAGATGTCATGTGCTGCAAGTGTCCATGAGCTGTTGTATAAGGCTGTTGTGGAATACCTTTTTGTGGAAGATCAACAAGATGTATGTGTGCTACTTCTGAATCTGTCACGTTTTTCTCCCTCTGTGTAGATCCTGGAGTTGGTGAAGGGCATGCATTACCAACTGGCCTGTCAGAAGTACTTTGAGTTGACACATGAGGTAAGTAGCTACTAATTTTTGTTTCAACTATTATCACTGACTTTGTCTTGAGGAAGGCCTTGGAAATCATGCTTGAAGTCCAGAGACTATTTTGAGTTTGCACATCCACCATTAGCTGTCTTGCCTTGTTAGTTTTCAATAATTTCAAATATTCTTTTGTAATTCTCAGCATTTATTTATTGATGTTATTAATACCCTCAACATTACAAGATGTAGTAAAATGTTATGCTTTTTTCCTGAAAAGGTCAATACTGCTGGATTTTAACAATTTCAAGTCATTTTACTTTCTCAATATCCTGCTTTTTTTAATCAAATTTATGGTTTTTAATGCATTTTGCAAGTTTGATGTTGTTTAGATACACCTTAAAAAAATTAACAGAAAGTATCTAAAAAGTGTAATTTAAGCTGGGGGACCCCTGGTGGTCTAGTGGTTAGGATGCGGCGCTCTCACCGCTGCAGCCCGGGTTCGATTCCTGGTCAGGGATACTCCCCCGGGCAGATGGAGCTCGTCAGCCCTGTAAGGCCATCCATCTATGAGAAGGCCACTCTAAACAAACCTACGTCCTGAGGACCTCACTGCCATTGTCCAAGCTCACTTGGCCCCGGCAGATGAACCTTAGGATTAAAGGGTGAGCTCAGTTCAGCGCAGGCTGTGTCTCACATAAAAAATCCATTGCACAGGCTTGAAAGGTAAAAGACCTTTCCCAAAATCTTCATTCGTGAAGACTGGCCATACAATTTAAACTAATCTCCCAGAGTGTTCATAGTTAATATTGTTAATTTTTACTTGGTATTTTTTCACATCTGTAGTCATGTGTGATTATTTTTTAAATCAAGATGAACATTCTCAGAGCTTTCCCATTTGCTTAATTGCAAGCAGAGTTGCAATTAAGATCCTCCAGAAAATTTTAAGATAGCAAATGGCCACAATCCATCTCCTGTGTGATTTCTTGATTCAAAGAACCAGCTTTTGCACTGGTTCAAGATTCCTTTCATCAAGAAAAAGCAATGAAGCACAGCCCTTTTTATAGCTTTGTTCTCTCCACAATTCAAGAAATGGAAATGTCCCTTTCAAACAGCAGGCTATGTTTGTTGCTATGTTTGTTGCTATGTATGTTGCTAAAGATATGGATGAGGATTAGATGACCCACCCAGAGACACTTACAGTTGACTTTTTTGTTCTTCCTGGTTTTCACATTTGATTTAAATGGTACTGTTTCTCTTCACAAATTTCCAGCAATCATGTATATGAGTGTATAGCAAAGGTATACTCCAGTATTTTTTTGGCAGCTGTAATTTGAGAGGAACGCTTTCTCTTAGTCTTAGGAAATGTGACAACAAGTCTAATAATCTAGAAGTAAATTCAAAATTATGTACAATTTGAAATTTAGATAACACTTGGCCTGTGTAAGCCCAAGTCAGTAGAAATAATATTTTCCAAAGATGACTATAGACTCCGAGGTCAACATTCAATGAAGGAAAAATCAGCACAGTGCATTTTAGGAAATTTGCCATTCTTCTATGGCAAATTCCAGAACAGCATTATTTTTTATCAGTCTTGTGGTAATATAAATATCTGTCTTTGCTGCTTGCATGAAGAATCATCTTTCTGCTTTGCTGTTAATAAATCTCTTATTTCAATGAGAGAAAGCAGAATACAGGGAAAGACACTTCCCGTAGTTTGCATGGCACATGCTTTTTTTTAAGAGAATTTATCTGCTCAACTTGTTACCAGCCTGTTTGGAGTGATTTTTCTATCCTACAACTGTATGGTTTATTAATTTTTAATTTTTTTATAGGGTAGTTAAAAATGTGTCTCTGACCTTTGCTTTCCTGTATATCTCTAGCAGAGTTTTTCAGTGAAAGAAGCTTCAGAAGAAT